GTTATGAAGAGAAACCAGTCACTAGAAAAGGACACCGTGGTTGGTAAAGTGGAGGGGAGGGGAAAAGAGGAAGACCCTCAAGAAGGAATAACACAGTGGCTAACCCAATGGCCTGCAACAACTGTGAGGATAGGACAGGACCGGTGTTTTGTTCCATGTACCAACTAGAGGGCACCAAACAACAACATCCATTTATAACATGAGTATTCATAACAGATCGTTTCTTAAAATAAAGATAAACATTGTGAAGAGAACGTTTTTGTTTCGATTACATGTTTTGTTTTATATTACAGATAGTCCTTGATTTAAGACATGTCTGAGGTGTGCTGTTGCCTTTTCCTGCATCTCACCTGTAGTAGCATGTACTACATACAATGTTGCAGAATGTCATGTCTGCTCTCATCAGATAAAAATGCGGTATTCAACTTAGGTCAGAATTGTGTTGACAAGTGAGTCATTACAACAGAATCACACTTTTCAGCTCATTTTCCACTTTGATCTGAGGACACACTAAACAGAATTACAAAGATCAGAGTAGGTTCCATTCAGTTCAACTCTAGCTCCAAGTACCCTTTATGCTCAAAATTGTACACCCTGAGTCGAATCAAAGTAAAAATAATGTAATGCACACTGGAAACAAAATAAGTGTGACTTATAAATATTCCATCTAGGAAAGAGACTCGATCCTCATTTTCCATAGAGCGTGAATTCAAGGAAAGTCTAGTTGAAAACTCAAAAATGGCAGCTTAAACAAGTGATTTATAAATAAAGTGCTAACTTTGAGAAGAAAAGAGTTAGAAAAGCTGCCTCAGGGGAGCGTCCCAAAAGGTAGATCAGAGTTAACCTGAGTTGTCGGGGAAGGCAGGAATGGTGAGGGGAAAATCATTAACAAAAGAGGGAAGGAGCTTAGGCTATGCTTAGGATTGTGAAGGGCAACTGTGGGTGAACCAAAAAAAAAAAAGTTCTGGGGAGAAGAATCAGATAAAATTTGGGTAACATACTAGACACAAAGGACACTGTAATATGTTCTCGTGTTCCAAAATCCCTCATCAAAAGTAATATGCCAAGATCAGAAACAGGTAACTGCATGTCAAAAAAACAAAAAAGCGGTGAGGGGGAGAAGACTATGATAATAGACCAAATATGATCATTTTAGAAAGGAGACCCTGCAGTTACCTAAGAGGTAAATATTTTATCATTCACAGCTTTCCATGGTATTCTTTATCTATAAATATTAACCTATTCTACTTCATTCATACACACCTACCTATTAATTATATCCTAAAAATAAAGCATGAGTCTTACTCTACTGACAAGTTCCCAGCGACAAATGCAATCACTTCTAAGAAACACACTTAATGAAGGTTTTTGTTGTTTTTATTATACACCTCAACACATCAAATACAATTTTCCCCTTTGATTACACAAAGGATGGCAACAGAACTAGAATGCTAGTTATGCAGATTTAGACATTCACATTTCAAAACTTGAAAAAGTACACGATATATAGATCTACCCCCCCAAAAAAAGTTGCGAAACGAGTGTGCACAATCCCAAATTGCTGCGTTAATAAGCTATTATTGATTCCCCATCTGCTAATCCTTGTGTTTAAATCAGTGGCAAAAAGTAAGACACACGTAAAACAGATTTACACAGAAGATTGGAAAACAGAAAAGTCATAGGCAAGGACTGCGTTTGGTCTGGGAAACAACTCCAGTGGCCTTTCAGACCCTCAGTGTCTGTTTACATGGCTGCTTACCCTGGGGGTGACGGCTCCCCTCCCCTGATAGTACTGGAATGCCTTTTCATCTCTGCTTCCCTAGAAGATAACACAGAGCCCAGCTATCACAAACGTCTGCAGGGTCACATGCCAGGGTGTGAAGTAAAGGTGAGGGAGAAAGAGATGGATGAGAGAAGAGGAAAGGTAGTTTTAAAGTGTTTTACAAGAACTTTTGAAATCATAAAATGAGAGGGCTTCAGAAAGCTCATGAAACAAGGGAATTAAAACATACTGAAAATTTTCCGCTTTGAACCTTCTGAAGCCCCCCATCCCAGTATTTCATTGTTTTAACTAAATAAAGATTATTTTTTCCTTAGAGCTAAAATAACATCCTTTAATATGTATATTAGATAGTGTAAAGAGAACTAAAGATATCATCCTGGGCTTAAGTGGAGAAAACACTCAGATGGAGCAATAAAGATCAGCCACAAACCCATACACCCAGCTGGACTATATAACTGCTCACAATAGAACATCTGTATATTTCCAGCTATTACAGGTATCATCCAAGAACAGGACAAGTTTGACCACGACAGAAGAGGCAGCTAATTAACTCAGAAAATGCATGAGCAAGTTGGTATTTACGTTAACTGGGGTGTGGGCCAATGACTACCAGAAAAGATCTAAGGTCCAGACTGTTATGGGAGGCAATCTATTATTTTCTTTTAAATGGCATTCAAAGGCTAACGCGCAGGCTTCAAGTCCTGCAGTAGTTAAATAGGAGGCTGAATACCAGGAGAGGAGTGCCTTTCTAGTACACACACGCACACCAACCCTGCCCAACAGAAATAACTTCTATACCGTTTTTAAAATACATATGAGGGCTTCAAAGATTTCACTGAGAAACCCCACTATATTTTAATTTAATTTTCCCTTGAACTTCATCAAGCCCCCTTGTACTTTTCATTCCCTTGTTTCCAAGCTAAGGCTTTTTCAAGTTCAAATTTAGAAACCAGGAATTTTGTATGTTTGCTTTTAGTTGTCCCTACTCTTTAAGGAAAACCCAAATGTTTCTTTCTTATTATTTCCCTAAGGATCTGAGTGGAAAAAGATGTCGAAAAAGGTAAAAAAATAATATACTGACTGCATTCTTCATGATCCTCATGAACACACAGATATACATGAGGGTTCAAAAAGCTTTGTGTAAAATTTCATTATGTTTAATGCCTTTTTCTGAACTTTTTGGACACTTGGGTGCCTGTGTATGCATAGGCTTCTTTGGAAATGTATTCTCAACATCATCTTACAGCAAACATTACAACTTTTAGATCTACGAGCAAACGAATTTGTTCTGCTATTAATAAGCAGATAGATTTTAGTACATGAAAACATGTTATTAATTCAACATATGAAACCCATTCATCAATATTTGTCACCATTATTAGAATTATTTTAGTAATTTAAAAGAAATGCAGTGTGTTGAATTACATTTTAAATCTATTAAGCAAAAGTATTTTGGCGTGTTAGTATTATATTTTTTATACTTAGTATATCATTATTTTCGAGTGTTTTCTTTGGGGAACAATTTTTTTTCACTTTTTATTGTGAGTTCGGCGGAGATTTACATATCCGATCATCATTTTTGCATTCAAAAAACTTACACACTTATGGAGCTTAGGGAGTAATTTTCAAGTAAACTAAATTTAAAGTAATTAAAATTAAGGAAACTTCATTTAATTCATTCCACAACAATATTACAAATAGCTATATAAATTGTCTAATCTCCACAAAAACCCTCTAAGATACTAACTACCAATATCAATTCGCTAGCAGCAAAATGAAACAAGAAAAACTAAGCTCAGAAAGCTGAACAACTTATCCCAACACAAATGCCTTATAACCTGGGAGGAGAAGAATGGGAACAAGGCCAAGTGTCCTGAGTCCACGTCCCTCCTTGACAGCACTACTCTGTCCACTCAGTGGCTGAGGCCACAGAGTTCCTATCTGAGTATCCAGCAAAAGCCTCTATTTTCCACTCAGGGTGAAAATGGACAAAGTCTTCTCATCTACTGAAATCTTAAGTTCATTTCTGGTAAAAAAAAGTATTAGCATATTATATGCTAAGTATTCCCGGCATCTTCTGGGCATACTTTTTTGGAATCTGTAACATCTCAGCACTACAAGGACACAAAGTTCCATATTCAATCATAAATATGGACTCAAAAGGCAATAACATAATTCAAATGCACTGTTCAAAGATAAAAAACCGCCACAAAATAATGTATGGCAATATAGATGTAATATTTAAATTTAGCTTTGTGAAAGTTGTAAAGACTTTTGGGTCCTAAAAGATGGGAAAAGATACAGGGCTTACATGAAATAAGTAAATATACTTCACTATTTTAACATAATTTTTACAATTAAAATGCTACCTGATACCAATGTAATCCTTGGTGTTTGTTTTTTTTATTCCTACACGTCTTCCATCCTTCAAATGTCAGCTAAATTATGACACGAACAACTGATGCTGAATAGTTTTTTGACTATTTTAGTCAATTCATCAGTGACCAGATTTGAGAATGTACACCGGGAGAGATATACCGTATCAAAGTGACTACATACTTAACCATTGAGAGTCACAGACATAAAAGTCAAAACTTTAACCACAGAAAATCTAAAATCTTTCAAGAAAATATTAGAATTCAAAACTACAAATCCATGGAAGACAATTGTCAGGTCAAACCAACAGAAGTAATCCCCATCAGCTTATGGTTGCAATGAAGTCTACATAGTGCTCACGCGTAGAGGCAGGTATTTCATCTTGAAGTTGGTTGTTTTGTTTTGTTTTTGAGGGCACGGAGGCTTCTGGGTTTGTTTGAAATACAATCCTTGCTTAGTCAGTAACTGAGCACTATCTTTAGCAAGCCATTCACATCATAAATGAATAATGTTCTGGTGTGTTTGGAAAAGCAATGTACAGTTCTGGTTTTTCAAAGTATCTTAGATTGCTCTAAGAGGCACCAATTCTATAAAAACTGTCCTCATTTTAATTCATCTGACTTGTTCAAGTTATGCCACACAAAACTTTAATGAAGAATGATGGAGTAAGTTAAAAATAACATACTCATTCGAAACGGAATGTAAAAGGTGGTTTACACATACTGTAACAATGATCTTTCTAGCTCAAATCTATTTTCTTGTATCTGAACTACGCATGTTACTAGGTAATACAAGATACCCCCCCATAAAAGAACAGAAGCCAAGAGCCAACTCAACTCACCTTTTGTTGACAGGCTTTTCATCCTTTTCATAGGGTCGGACAAACCATTTCCCAATCCTGACGAAGTTCTTGTCCATTAGGCACCTACAATGATTCATCAACAATTAATTCTACAGTTTTGATATCAAATTAACACAGCAAGCTACTGACTCAACGACTTATGCAGTAAGAATAAAAACATTAAATGGTCATGAAACATTAAATGGTCAAAACATTAAATAAAAACATTAAATGGTCATGATATAAAACTTTTCACTTTATATGGACTAGAAGAATTCTTAAGGCAAAACTGGTTGATTTGTTCCTAACATATCTTCGCCCCTGTGTATTTCTGCCAATCACACAGCACTTCTGTAGAAATGTGGATTCTTGGGCAAGGGAGCATCAGCATAGAGCAACTTTTCTGGAGTGGCTCTAGGCTACCCTCCAAGCTGATATGCCCATTCCGCAAGTTGTAATGCTGCCCCTTTTCCTTTTTCATTTTTGGTGCGGCATGTCACAGGTGATCCCTTGGCATGTTTTCAGTAATAAAAATTTTAAAAATAGGTTCATCAACTCCTCTTGATGTAGGGTATAGTACTTAAAGCTCTTGGTACTGCTTTGCAAGAACACAAGGCATTGCAGATTTCTAAATGAGGCATCACTGCCCTGCTCCCACCTCAAGTGCAACCCGGCTTCTGTCTCCAGGCCTTTTGTATACACGGTGTTTCATGTCACATCACGAGTCATTTTTCTGAAGATGTATTGAGCCCAACTCATATAATGCCATTCTGCCCATAATTCAATTGAACTGACAACAATGTGAACAGCTATGACCAAGTTCATTCATGTGCAGGCAAATGACAACTATATTGTAACTGCCATCTGGGCCAATTGTGAGACATCATCAATTAAAAGAAGTACACTGATTTCAAAGATATAAAAATGTGAGGGGGGAAGAGTGTACACTGCAGAATTGATGATATAAAATAATTGCTAATATCATTCAATGAAATGCGCCCCCCCCCTTTTAAGAAAAGAGGTCAGGAAGAAAATAAAAGAAACCTGTCAGAAATCTGGATGTCATTCTTTAAATAAGGTCCTCCAGGAAAAGATTATACAGCCATTCTTTATTCAATATTCAAGCAATTCTGTACTTGGCTTTTATGTCTATAATTTCCATACCACCAGAAAAACCAGGAAACAATTCAAGCACTTAGCCAACTCATTACAGGTTAGATGGGTTAGAAAATGGTACCAGTTTCTTCTCACCACAGTGTAACTCCCTTTAGGCAGTGCCAATGTAGAGCACGCAAGGCTCAGTCAAAGTCACTGGCTTCAACTGGTTTTGCTTTGAAAATGAGTTTCCACAGCAACCTTCCTTATTCATTATGAGGTTTTTTTTTAAAAAAAAAAATCTATTCTAAAGGAACCCAAAATCTGTTTTCCTAAACTCATCACATGGACACATTGTTTACAATATACACGTAGAATAGTCTCCATTAAGTTTACAACATACACATAGACTACCTACCAAACCCACTGCCACTAAGGTAATTTTTGACTCACAGAGACCTTGAAAGGCAGACTAGAACTGTTTCCCCTACCCCACCCCCAGGTTCTGAAAGCTATAAATCTTTATGGGAGCAAACAGCCTCATCTTTCTCTCTCAGAATAGGTGGTGAATTTTAATTTCTGAACTAACAGTTTAATAACCCAACAACTAGGCCACTATACCACCAAAGCTCCTTACATCCACCGAAGTACTTTAAAAAAAAAAAAAAAACAATGCTTAAAAGGTATCGCTACACTACATTCACTGGCTAAGAAAATTGTCTATTTTTAAAACTAGAATACATAATAACAAATGCTAGGAATTTCCATTAGAACTCTAGTATTTGATATCAAATTCCTTCCTCCAATGCCACAATTAATAACAATGACAAGACTCACTATGGAGACCACTACACCCCCATACCACCATGTTTGATTACAAGGCAGAGTATCTCATTTAATTCTTGTAATAATGGGATTCAATAGTTGTTACACTGTTAACTCTTGGAGGTAAAGCAGCTAAGGCACAATGAGAAAGTCACCTGTCAAGGTCAAAGAGTTAGTGAGACGTTAGAACTGAGAATTAAGCCTACAGATATCTAGTCACAGAGCTAGGGTTTTCCATTTATACCATGCTGTCACTACCCTTGTGCTATTATATTTCCCCAATTCTTTCCATTCTGAAATCCAGGTGCATCTTAAAACTGATAGTTCTATTTACTGTGACAGTATTTTATTCTCCAAAAGTTGTTAATAAATGGCAGGTGTATTTTAAAATCAGTAAAGACTTCAAATAAAATCAGGGGGTGTAAGCATCAGGCACAGGATGACATCAAACACTAAGCACTGTCACTTAATGGCACTTCATTTAGTATATACCATTGCAGAATACATATATGTACATATTTTTTTCATTCTTCATATATGCCTTGAAGGTGACAGTACAAGGAGATGGTTTATTCCATAAGAGAGAAACAACATGAAATTTACTGGACCTGGGATTTAAAAAAAAATCAAAAGCTTTAGACAGGGTAATCTGAAAGAAAACAAAATATCCAGGATTAACTGAGCACTATCTTTAGCAAGCCATTCACAT